GCTCACTGGAGTTCCGGTCCAGTAGTGTGCGCACGTTCCAGAACCCGATGCTGAGTGCTTTGCGAGCAAGCATACGATTGCATTGGTGCGCAATCGCACGCCAGATGGTCGTTGTGCTTCGAGGTTTGCTTAAGGGACTCCACCCGGAGCCTTTGGCTCAACAGCCTGACCCACAAGGCAGTGGGGAGCAGATCCAGCTCAGGAATGTGATTGCAGAAACAGATTGGGATCTGCTTGACGGCCGTCACACGCAGTCTTGGAGGTATTGGAACGATTCATATATGTTTTGCGACCGTAGTGGGATACGCACCTGCGACCACGGCCAAACGCAGGTGGGTTTTAGCGGGTTTGCACCAATTTGACCAGGGGCTGCCTGGCTTGAGGCGGAGGTGCCCTCCCAACGTCAGAGACAATGCGTGGCGCTCGTGCTCTACGCCAAGCAAGCTGTGAGCTTATAACCTGTAGACCTGTTGTCTCCCATTGCTAGGTTTTACGGGGAGAGGGAGATCGACCACCTCCTAACCTCCGAAGAGGATGGACTAGGATACTGGCAGAGCGCCCACACCTGACAGGAGAACGACTCGGGTCCTCAGCCAAAGCCTTCGATTAAATGAACACCCGAAAGGCAGCGGGTCTAGCACATGGTCAGTTCACTGACTCATGCGGATTGGTGTCCTGGTTTTTAGCAGGGGGAAGGACGAAAACCAACTCCCACCCAGCGGCCGCCACGAGGAGGCGCCCGGGACATGAGGGAATGGCGTAACAGTAGCAGCAGTGGGCAGGCCAACTGTCAGGATCTAGCCACCACCAGTCTCAGCGCAATATATATATATATATATATATATATATATATATATATAGTGCTAAATGAACGATCGCCCCCTCGGACGTTACACCGGTTGAAACCACACTCGACGAGCAGCGGGTTTAAAGAGGTATCACGTTTCAAAGCTCGTTTATCATACAAGTTAGCTAGAGTTTTAGAACACCTCACAGTTAGCACCTGGATATAAATCAATCAAAGGATCAAGGAAATGTTTCATTTTGCCTTTAATTTGCGTCTAAATGAAAGTGATTTAGGAGAAGAGAGGGAAAGAGTCAAACAACATATGCTACCGAGCTCGGCTTTCCGCTGTGTCAACGAGTGTCCCCAACAAAACGAGTACATCATCCTCTGGACTTTGAATCGGGAGTCGGAGTGCAACAACCGAGTCCAAATCCGAAATGAGAGGCGTCATTCCTATTGAAGTAGCACGCTAGCACGCAAACACCATCAGTCGCGCGATAGTTAGGGATACTGGCGAGGTCACCAACACATACGCAGAATCGAATGGGTGATCTTTGGATCACACACCAGAAGGCTAGGTAACGTTTAGACCTCTCCTTTTCCATGAAGACCCTGATCACGAAAATAACACATATCGCAGAAGTTCGTGCACTGGCATACGTAGCAAGCGCCGCAGTCATCGGAGACTGGTGCATGGAATGGCAACAATGAGAGGTTCGCCTGCCTAGCTTACACCATAAACAAGGCGATGAGATGCGCTCATTGCTCACGCGGTGTCCGAAAGCAACTGACCAGTTTACATCCGTCGACTTGATGGGAGAGGTTTCCCAACGATATAGCACAGTAAGACGATAGCTACACTTCAGATTGTAATCGTCCGGATGAGAGAAATGTCATATCGGAACCATAAACGACGATGAGAAAAACGCTTTGGCCTTCGGCTACACGGTTCGTCACTTCATATCCTATTCCACAGGCGATGATGCAGTTGCCAAGATAGTTAAATTTCTGAAAGACGTCTGTCTGCTCCCAAACGAGTCAGAGCAGTGGGCGGTCCCTACAGCTCTTGAGGAAACGTTTGCATAATAGAAATGCAAAGCACAGGCTGAAAGGATTAACTACCAGTACTAATCTGTTCAGCAATGTTTGACAGGTTTGCAAGATTAGGGTAATAGCACAGGCGTAGCTTAGTGGTAACGGGCTTGTGTCGTAATCCTGCGGCGCGGGTTCGAATCCGCGTAGGGGTAGGTGTCATCGCGGTACACTAAGCCCGCGTGCGACAGGTGGTCGCACGGCAGCGAAGCGCCGTTACGGCGTAAAGCTGACAAATGCGTGCAGGCGAAGTCGATCCCCTGAGAGCAGCTCTGCACCCAAAGTGTCGAAGCCGATGAAGGCAGTCTTCATAACTTTGCCAACGGCGAAGTTGAAAAGCAACAATGACAGAGGGGGGATCCGCTTCATACCGCTGGATACTGAAGGGTGTTCAATCTACCCTAATGACCGCTTAAACCACTTTCATCACAGCTGCGTATTTTTCAGGGATACATCTCCCAATCAAACAGCCTCAAAGGGGATATCGATTCACCGAGTTGTGGGCACATTTGATATGCAGGAGCACGAGTACGGTGGTACGCCAATGAACTTCGCTGTGTTCTCACTCACGCCACTCCGATCCCAAATTAGCAATTCCTCGCAAAACTTCCGGCCACAAACCGAGAAAGTCAGAACACAAGGACTATGAACAAAATAACGTATTGACTTCACAGTCACAAACATCGCAGAGCAGACTTTAAAAAGCTGGTCGTATCGATTAGTCAGGGCTAGTCTATATTGATGGTGAGCTCCCTAGGTCCGAAACAGATAGTTCGCCTAACGAACGTCGTGTTGCGAGTTCCATAGAATAATCCCGGGCAACATGTGCTCCGACATTGTTCAACAACTCTTGTGTACCTTTTCGGACATCAACGATTTCGATGAAACCTGGCTTGCTTTTCATGAAGCTGACTTTCACCGGCATTAGTCTGTATTTGGAGGATGACAGAGGCAAAGAAATTTAAAGGCGATAGAGATCGGTCTGGTGGGTGTAGTATTTCGAACATAAGTCATCGCCCGAAATGCAGACTATGATGGAGCAACTCCATAGAGTTGGGTCAGTTCTCAATTCCCACAGCCTCATTGACAAATAGTAAAGTTCATTCATAAGAACAGGTCCCTTGGATGTGGGGAGTTAGAAATCCAGCTGGTTCTGCTGCCTTATCCAATTATAACAGTTCGACCTCATGTTTGACTCGAAATAGATAGTCCAGGGAGCACAGTGATCACTGACTAAAAATAGCCTATTAGGCATGTCACAATGTTCAGCCTAACACTGCTAAGCTATTCACCCTCGTCGCATATAACCTCGCTAACATCTGGTGTCCTGCTGTTTGTTTCTCGTACCAGACTGAGTAGTTCAGGTCACTTGACAAGATCATCAACTGCTTTCATCCCTGATTTATATGAGACCAATAAAGCAATTAGTTACCTTTGAAAAGCGCGAAAGGATGAAAACTGGTAGATGCACGCTTTTTGCATTGTCTCCGCGGTTTTTCTTCAAGCTAGCAAACAATACTGCCATGAAAACTTTGCAGGTCTCGTCGTATTCTGTTATAAGTTGGTCCTTGGCCACGTCAAGTGTATTACAGCTTGGTACGTATCTGCTAGGGGAATGAACGAACGTGAGGCACGGAAAGTAGCTGACAGAGTCCGATTTACCACAACACGAGAGACTTGAGCGCAAGATAGGTTTACGCGCAGTTGAAACGTTGTGCTAGACCGAGCACAGAGTTCGTTCACAACACCGACCCAGAGAGATGAAAACAAAAGTCAGACCCTTCGCCTCAGCCACTTTACTCGCGAGACCAAGCAATTACAGCGAAACCCAGCCTTGCTTAAATACAACGATTGGTGAAATGAGACTTAACGTGGAATGGTAAGCAAGACCTAATTAAGCAAATTGACCCTTATGCCATTAAAAGAAAATCAATGTCGATAATTGAAAGTGGGCGAATTGGCAAAAGTTAAAATAACGAAACATGATCTGGTTCAATATTCATAATTGGAGGGGCATGGCCGGCAATGTTTCTAGCGTGTGTGGCTGATCGAAACGTGGTTCCACCTGTCTTTTGGGGACATTCGGTCCCCATAATATCTTCGCTCCCAGCCTGAACGTGTCGGCAAGCATCGTGTAGAGACATATTGCCCAAGTCGGTAGTTTGGTTTACCATACGAAGATGCATCAGGTCAACATACGGCCAGTGATCCATAACCGTGTTCACAGGGAATTTACATTCAGACAACCCGGATGCATGCACAACTCCATACGCATTAAGAACACGTTGGTAAGTAGAAGTCACGAATTAAACTGCACACAATAATCTGCCTCGACGGGGAATCGAACCCCGGTCCGACGAATTACCGGTCCGCTACTCTACCACTGAGCTACCGAGGGCTGACGATCAGGTGTGCAATTTAATACATGACTTCTGCTTGGTGCGCGACGTATTGCCAATGAGCTCACAGTACCTGTCCTGGTGTTGCAGATTGGCTCACTCACTCGTCACTTCCCAATGGACCGAAGTATCTGTCCTTCTGATGTCCAAAGGGCGATGGTAGATTTACTTGTGGATTTTTGTCAGTAATGTAATCTTCATAGAAAGTAGAAGTCACGATTAAACTGCACACAATTATCTGCCTCGACGGGGAATGGAACCCCGGTCCAACGAATTACCGGTCCGCTGCTCTACCACTGAGCTACCGTGACTTCTACTTTCTACGAAGATTACATTACTCACAAAAATCCACAAGTAAATCTACCATCGCCCTTTGGACATCAGAAGGACAGATACTTCGGTCCATTGGGAAGTGACGAGTGAGTGAGCCAATCTGCAACACCAGGACAGGTACTGTGAGCTCATTGGCAATATGTCGCGCACCAAGCAGAAGTCATGGATTAAATTGCACACCTGATCGTCAGCCCTCGGTAACTCAGTGGTAGAGTAGCGGACCGGTAATTCGTTGGACCGGGGTTCGATTCCCCGTCGAGGCAGATTATTGTGTGCAGTTTAATTCGTGACTTCTACTTTCTACGAAGATTACATTACTCACAAAAAATCCACAAGTAAATGTTGGTAAGTGTTTACGGGCGTGGTTTATGTGCATAGTCGAGATGTACTCTTGTGCTTCAGATCCAGCGATGGAGTGGAACGCAGCATCTCCGATAAACAGTGATCGCGACGAGATTGATTTGCTTGCCTTGCTGCTGCAGGCTGGTGAGCAACAGATGCCAAGTCGAAAGTTATTATTCACGAAAATTAGACGAGCAACTTGATACAAGTGTAACAAACGTTCACTATTATCATCAAGGGAGCCTACATCATGTTAGCTGCGCAATGAAGTAGCTCATGATCACAAATTTTCCAATTTGAGCCGGTCACCAGCCGGTAGTGCCATATGTATACTTCTGTGACAAAGATGCTCGTTCAGTTGATGGCAGGTAATATTTCAGTCAGTGCTGGCGATAGTGTGTACCTAGGTAGCAACGATAGCCAAGTAAGTATTGCACTCACAAAAGATTGGAAACCATGAGCTAATCAAACGCGCATATACTGCTACTGATTAAGTAAGCAAGCGATTAATCTTAAGAATGCGAGGCATACCCGCATAAGGGTGATCATAGTAAAAGGACCATGAATAATCGAACAATGTACAGACACGTCCCAAGTTTGTCCATAACAGTAAATCTTAGTATTTAGGTATAATGATAATGACGGTCCAACCAGTGGTGTGTACGTCTGTTGTTGCTGTGAATGTTGAAGGAGTGTGGGCCGGCTTCGTTGATGAAACGTAACTCCCAGCCACATATCCCTTGGTCGTATTCCAGCAGGAGCACGATGGATATGGGATATGTGGCTGGAGCTGTGGATGGTTCAGTGCAAGCCACTCATGATCCCTGTGGCTGTTTTATGGAGGCCGCATTGGCATGCAAATCCGGAATCGGATGCCACCTGGCATACTTATATACAGTGAGTTGGGGTAATCCCGCACCCTACTTTTTGAAATATTTATTAAAAAACTAGATAATTAACAACATTCATAATCACATATATTATCTGGATAGCAATAAGTTAAATGTTGCCGAAAGAACTTGGCCGAAAACACAACTGTAACCAAGATATTAGCATAATACTGATATTTCGATTAAATGGGGCGATTCCACACTTTCTGCTCTAGTCAGGATTTTTCAAACGCCACAACCAAACAATTGGCAGGCACTTGATATTATGTCTCTCAGAAACCGAATTTCTCAGATATGTTTCTAGTAAACACCTTCTTTGGGGGCAACCACTCATCATCACTGTCCGATATGGGAAAATCGATATCATTGCAAGATTATAAACCACTCTTCTGCTTTTCCGTGGAAGCATTTCTGAGCTGAGCATCTGAACAGGATGGTATCTTTGTCTAAAACATTTGTAGTCAGATTGAGCACATGCACTTCATTTGACGGATGTCTTTGTGATTTTTTCTGCCTTTGCGAAGACGACGAAACCGTTGGTTCATGTGCACCGGATGGTTTCTTTTTCTTCAAAGCACTTCGATACTTACTATCTTTATGCAAACTTTTCCATGGCCTTGTGGTTTTTCTACCTTCGCTGTTCCATTCGCACCACACATTCCTGATCAGTCAGACTTTCTCCATAATGTCTTTTAATAGCATTTCTGAGTTTTAGATGTGCTTTGTTTCAGGAATGGTGACAGCCTGTTGAGAAAACAGTGTCCGATAGAGTTTCTCTTATCGCTTTGCTTCTCAACATGAGATGTGGAGAGTTCAGATAAAGCTGATTCTGTCGTCATGGCAGAACTGAAACGGCTGACTGATTCAAATCATTGTCGTCTTGCCGTATGTCAACACTTGTGCGGCCTGCGTCGGGCGCTGTTGATGTTGTTTATACGCTGCCCACATATTCTGCAAACTCATGCACAGAGAATGGAATTTTGGAAGGGCCACACCTTTGCTAAATCTGGATTCAATATTTCCATTGCGCAGACAGTCACTTTCTCGTAACTTCTTCAGAAGAATAGGAAATAGCTAATTAGATAATGCTGCACCTAAGTTCGGCCAGGCAAATTTAATAAGAATTTGCTCACAATCTGTCTTTACTGGTCGATAGACACCCACATTAAAAGGTTGCAGTAAGTAGGTTGAATTTGTTGGAAGTTTCGAAATTCTGACACCATTTCGAATTGCTGCTCTAAAGACTACAATATTCATATGTGAAGCATGAACACCAACAATTAACAGAACAGGTCTACTTTCTGACAGAAATGGAATTAAATGGTTTATAAACCAGTCTCTAAAACAAGCACTGTCCATTCAACCTTCTTCAATGATATTGTATCTAGCATTGTCAGGTCCATCTTACATCCATGAAACTTATGTTTTTGGCCTCATAAAGGATATATGGTGGAATCATGGTCGCATCAGCCCGAGTACATTCTTGCACTGTGATAGAATCTCTCCCTCAGCAACCAATGACACGAAAAAGGTTTTTGGTCCATTTTCACAAACCACTTAAGGTCGAGCGGAAAGTCACTCTCATCAACGTTGTAAACTCTTTCGGGCATATTTAGAATGCCATTGATTGTAAAGGCTTCATTAAGCAGTTGAAACCACTCTTCAAATGTCAGTTTATTTGCAGCCAACCAGACTGGATTTTTTTAGTTGCTTTGGAGTTCGATATGTCAGATCCGTATGTCGCTTTAAAAACTGCATGACCAATCTCGACCAGGAACATTCTTCTTAAAAGGAACAGCCCTATCTTGATCAACAGAAGTAATAAAAGTACCCACAACTTCCATCGCTTCTGTGCATGTGAATCCAACCGCTCCCACAGGGCAACACGTTTTAAACAGCTGGAAAGTTCCTCTTCTTCTGCTTCAGTGAGAATTATTTTTGTACCAGCTAACACATTGCCATATTTTCCTCTTACGTGGTCACGAATTGTCGCCTTGTTCAAGTTGTAGAACTTGGTACCTTTCTTGTACCCCATGACAGTTTTTCTAACTTCAGCAACGGCTTGTTCCATTGCAGCCGTGTCATATGCTGCCACTTTACCTTTGTAGTTCCGACGCACACTAAAACTCGAAAGGAAATCTAGACTAGACCACTCACATCTAAAAAGCTAAAAGAATCATGGGGTAAATGCACACAGTGATATGTGGAATTGTCCCACAAGCTTTTAATTTGGTGTACGAAATTTCCCCAATATGGTAGTAAGTCGTCACTCACGAAGGTCAAATCAGCTCATGAGACAAATAATCCAAACGTGAAAAAACATTAACCCTATGATAAAATTAATATATATTATTCGATTCCTATGAAGGTAATAAGTTTCAAAAAATTATAGACTTTTAAGAAGTGCAAGATGTCAACTTACATGAAAATGACTCAGCAGTGCTCGTGTATCCTATATCTCTGGCTGAACACTAGTACATGGCGCTGATCGAAAAATAAACGGGAACCGGGCAAACTGGTGTCATTAAAAAAGTATAGTCTTTGCATTGACCGAAACTACCTTCCATTTAAGAAAACGTTACATTTAATTAGAAAAGGTGTGGAATTATCCCCGGTGCGGGATTATCCTAACTTACGGTATATGCTTGGCGGCATCCGGTTTCGGATTTGCCTGTCACTGTGGCCAGCCACAGGACGCCTGCGCCTACAAAGGGACCATGGGTGACTTGCGCCGCACCAACCACAGCTCCATCCACACACCCCATATCCAGTGTAAACCCGAAGACCGCAAGGCACGTGGATGAGAGCCCACGTTACATCAACGGAGCTGGCCCATACTCCTTCACAGGCAAATACAAGCACGTCATATTTGGGAATAAATCGCACACAAGGCGGTGACTGGACCGTAGTCCGCTCCACACTGAGTGCATGGAACCACTCTTCGAGCCTAGCACGACCACAAGGACCGCGCACCCCGTCCCCTCCAGCAACGACCAACTGTCTCCTGGAGCCAGTATGGACGAGGTAGTAGGTAAAAGACAGGTAGGCACCTTGTCAACATGCATATCAAGCGCGGCCACAACGGGATATTAAGCAACAGCCAATCAGTTGAAATGATGAGATCAAATTAAATCAACCGAATAATGCATACAGATACGGTGACATAACTCCACTAAGTGAGCATATGAAATAAACTGTTTACGAACAAATCCGCGATAAGTTCAAGACGTCAGAAAATATACCTTAAGAAAATGCCACAAACGCGAAAAGGTTATCGAAGTTAAATAAAGTAGTATAAGGGACATGTGCAACTTTAAAGAAGAAATCTCAGGTAAACATGAATATGAGACAAAAAGCATTAGGACAATATAGCCCACCCACTACCTGAAATAAACAGATTCAGCGTGCAAGCACGCGGTTAGTAAATCGAATGCAGCGTACCCACAAAAGCTGCGCAGGTTATGCCTACGTTTTCATCAGGACTCGGCATCGTTTCGGTGTTGGCCCCGAGTGGCCTCGTTCATGGCTCACTAGGCTTGACTGACTCGGACATTCGCGACCACGTGTTAAAGCACCATGCGCTCGGTGTCAATGGAGTACAACCCATCGGTGCTTGCCGCTTCCGCAATTGCCGCTTCTTCTTTGCATGTATGAGGTCATTCTCAAGCACTTCGGCAACTGCCTTCGTGATTAGATCGCGTCATGCACGCCGATCAACCGCTTTCGATTCCCATGATCTGCAATCAATATTAGAACGTGAGAGGCTCACTTTATTCATGCCATGGTAACGTAACTTCGGTTTTCCCAAGTGCCGCTTCCCAATACTCAGCTGACTATACAAGCTGTTTCGGTAGCCGCGTTGAATACATACGTCACACATGACCGAGCAACCTCAGGGGTCTCAGCAAATGTATGCAGTCCACTGCATACATTTCACTTCGTAGCAACATTTCCGTGTCTGCAACTTTGTCGCCCCAACCGATACGCAAAAATCCGTCGCAAACACTTCTGATGGAACCGCTCGAGATATCGCAAATCCCGCCGGTACATCGCCCACGTTTCACTGCCGTATAGAAGAACGGACAACACCATGGATTTGTACACCATCAGCTTCGTGCCAACGGTAAGCTGATGGTTCTTCCACACTCAGTACTCTAGCTTCCCGAATGCCGCTGCTGCCATCAACACGCGGATACGCAGCTCACTGTGTAGTTGCTGATCAGTCGACATCACACTCGCAAGGTAGCAGAA